GATGTCAGGGTGATTAAAGTCCCCCACGAGAACCAGGGCCTGCGATCTGGAAGCTTCTCTCAGTTGTCCGAAGAAAGCCTCATCTACCTCATCCACCTGATACGGTGGCCTGTAGCAGACACTAACCACAACATCAATGCTGTTCTTTACTCCTTTAAACTTAACCCATAGACTTTCAACAGGTTTTTCTCCCTCTTTATACTGGAGTTCAGAGCAATCGTAGTGCTCTCTTACATATAGTGCAACTCCTCCTTCTTTTCTCCCCTGCCTGTTCTTCCTGAACAGTCTATACCCTTCCATGACAGCGCTCCAGTCATGCGAGTCATCCCACCACGTCTCTGTTATCTTGGACTGGGACCGGGCCTCCAGTTCTTCCTGTTTGTTGCCCAGGCTTCTCGCATTAGTGTCCAAACACTTCACGTAACCAGTTGCTCGCCCTATCTTCTCCATTCGAATCAGGGATCCTCCTTTCTTGCTCGTTCCTCTTTGCATTTCTTCCCGGTATCCGACTTTCCCACTCCCCTCAGGGTTTTGGTCACTGTCCTCCGATGAACCTAGTTTAAAGCCCTCCTAACTAGGTTTGCAAGCCTGCCCACGAAGATGCTCCTTCCTCCCTTCGTTAGGTGGATCCCATCTCTTCCTAACAATCCTTGTGCCCGGAACAGAGTCCCATGGTTGAAGAAACCAAAGCCCTCTCTGCGACACCACCTGCGCAACCACATATTTACGTCCTCAATTCGACTATCCCTGCCCAGTCCTTTCCCTTCAACAGGGAACAATATGTGTAGCTCAAAGATAATTTTTATAAATTATTACTGTAAAGATGGCAGTTGACCCCATAATGTTTTTGCTCCTAGGGCAGTGCTCTGTTGGAGGATTGCAGGTAAAGGGAAAAACTTGTATGTAGGCTGGTTGTAGTCAGGAATTAGATGGATTAGGAAGGAAATTATTAAAAAGATTCATTTTATGACAAAATGCCAGCATCCTAAGGATCCCTTGATCTGCTTCCTTAAAGCTCAAATAAAGGGTCTACATTTTAAGAAGAACTACAAATTAATTACTTTTTTTGTTAGCTGCTAGACCTCGTGTTGCACATTATTGGAAAAACAATTCCTCCTCCTATGGAATTGTTGTATAAAAATACTAATAGTGCTTGTAAAGAACATACATAAGAAGCATCAAAAAGAAGATAGGTATTTAGAATCTTTACCATATTCAGAGTAGGACGGCTCCTTAAAAAGCAAGCCAAAATCTTTAGCCAGTTTCTTTGAATATTAATCTGATCCCAAATTAGTAATATACAATTTAGTGTGTTCACATTTTATTTTAATTTTGCTTTAATAAAAAGGTTTTTTTTAAACCTGGGGGTTTAATAATGAAGGCAGCAGGATGTTTTTTCATAATAGAGTGCTGCCACATTTTTCCTTTGACAACAAAAGAACCACGAGGCAAACTCAAATCACTCATGTGTCAATAACATGAACAGGTCCTCTCCGAGAACAGCAGTAGTTTTAGAGATGAACTTGACTCCCAATGCTCTCTCTACTGGTTCTGTAGTTAAGAGAAACATTTGGAGAGATAAGATGTTTAATTAGCTCACACACCTCACCTACTTGTGAGAACACTTTTCCCTTGAGACAGCAGCCATTCCTCTAAGAACCTTCTGAGCTTTCCTTAATGAATATCAGACCACAGAGAAGTCAGCAATATACTCTCATAGGACAATGAATCCAACATCCCCGCCCAGCAACCTTCCTATTATCTCCCATTCAGGGGAACAGGAATCTGGGGCCACCTCTGAACCAGGTAGCTTATGCTACTGATGCCAGCTAGTGACAGAGCTGACTTTAAACGACCTTACACACTAAAAGACTATCTTCACAAAAAACGAAAAAATAAATTAAAAATAACAGGTGCACAAACACTTCACAAACCAAGAATCAATCCTGTCAAACCTGTAGATAAGCTATAGCAGGTTTGAATCCTGCATAACGAGATTAAATTTGAAGATTGCATATTTCTGTATTCAAATAAGAACCCAAACAGTGGGGAAGTGCTGCTTAGAAACACAGCGAGCATACTAATGTCAGCAAACAGATTTCTGTGTCCTTATATTCATCCTATTGCTACATCTAGCTAAGCTTGCTGGGATCAGAGCTAATAATCTTGCTGTTCATAATCATGCAGTTGGTAACACAGTAGCACATGGATGAAATTACCATTTTTCTGTTAAAAAAAGGGGCATTTTAGTTGTTATTGGAAAGATGCAAGGGTGGTTCATGTGAAAATAGCTTTAGAGGACTCTACTGAGAATGCGTTACCTTTCCCTGAGATCACACCCACCTGCGTCTTCCCTTATGTGAGGATTTCAACAGTGCCCTTTATCTCAAAACACAGTAATTCAGCGTTAAACACACAACTGCTGTTTTAGTCAGCAAACCGCATAGATTTGTGTCTTCTTCACCCAACCTATCTACATTTTAAATCCCTTTTTACAACCAAACCATGAGAGCTATCTGCCCAGGAACAGTAATTTGAGATTGTGCCACTATAGCTTACCTATTTGTAACAATGAAAAATACTCTTACAAACTGCGTGCATGTAAGAAAACAAAGGTAAATTGAGCAACAAATGACCACGGTTTTTATAAAGCTTCCTTTTAGTACACTGCACTTTTCCCTCCCTGCAGACAGAGACTGATTTATGTCAGACACAATATTCTTTCAAGCTGTCAAAATGATCAAATAAAGAGATACTGAGTGGAAAACATTGGACTGCCACAGGCTACAGTACGTGGTAAACAGCACAGAATTCTTTGTCCCTTTGGTTCAAGGAAAGCTCACACGCCTACCTTCTTGCCTTCTCCATATATAAGGGGAAACTTCAAGTCATCCTCCTCAATGCTTTTGTATGCCCTGTGGGGGGACAAACAACATTTTTTTTAAAGCTTGCACTCAATTAGTGACCCAGTGCCCTAACACAAACATCCATGTATATTTTTATTATTTTTCTGGGAGACACTGTCTTTTCAGCAAGCTGCCAATTTGTTTTTGTTTTTTCTGTGCAGAGATTTTTCCTTACAGAACTGTGCTATATGGCCAAAAGAAAAGCTACTGAAAACAACACGAAGCATGTAAAACACCAACCTGTCTTTGTTTTTATTAAGCAGAAGAAAGGTAACTGGAACAGCATCCTAAATAACTAAAGGGTGGGATGAATGATACACTGCTGGTCATCACATCAGCTGTACAATTACACAGTGCAATAAAGAAGAGTGATTGGATTCACATTAATAATCTGAAACTGAGAAACATCAGAGTTTGTAGGTGGCTGGAGTGTGAAATAGTTCTCAGATCCAGTTCTCGCCTTCAGGAGCTGTTTATATCAAACCAAGCTTCATATTGTGGAGAGCTTTAGAAGATATTTAGAGCCCATTTGACCTTGGCTAGGACATGTAAGATTTCCAGAAGTTCTGTGTTTCACAAGCTTCAGAGTTTTAGTCTGTAACAGGAAAAACTTAAACAACAAATAGTCTGGTAGCACTTTAAAGACTAACAAAATTGTGTTAGTCTGTAAAGTGCTACCAGACTATTTGTGTTTCATAGTAAGGGCTAAAAGATGAGAAAAGAATGAGTTCATCTGCTAAATGGTTATTTTATGTGTGCATACATTTTACATATCTGATTTTTAACAATAACTGGAATAAAAGAATAATAATAATAATTCACCTCCATTCCCTTCTCTACGTGACAATGTGTATTTCCCTTTGCTATTTTCTCCCCTTCTCTCACCCTCTGAATTACCTCAGACACATCACCGGAGAGAACAAATCAGTATTGAGCATGGAACTAGAATGGACAAGTGTGAAAAAGGCATGCACAGTAACGGACCCTCTTGTCAGTCTCACTAGAGCCTCAACACCTAATGTTCAACTCTAGAGCTGGACTGGCTGTTTGAACTCCTGGACTCAAACACAATTAGGTTTAAAAAACATTAAGGTTGTGGCACAAACCAACAGAAGCCAGGAAATTAAAGTTTATGGCTGAAATCCCACACTGAAACCCATCTAACTTAACCCCGCCTGCTACACTAAAATATTGCATAGAGCTGGGATCAATACAGTGCATTACATAACTACATGTACTGCATGACCTTGTGGTCAAGTCAGAATCAAGAAGCAGTGACACAGGCATGTAATTTAAGCCTCCTCTTTACCTTGCCTTGCACGGTCAGCTGGTGTCAAAGTGATCTTTTTCAATGTTCCTTTCCATATTAAAAAATGTAGGTAAATTTACTTGAGTGAAAATAATAAATTGCATATTATGTACCCTATACATTGAAATGGAACAGATAAACAGCCATATAATGAGAGCCACTGGTTTTTGTGAAATCCTTGTTCTGTGTAGCTGTGACTACCCAGATACTGCTGTTAAAGGGAGCATTCATGCTAGACTGAAAAATATCGTTTCAAACTGGGGAAATACTGGTTCTGTTGTAGGAAGTACAAACCATTTTTTTCTCTGTTTTCAGTCATAGCTAGTATAGCCAAAGGAGAATTTCTTGGGTTGATGTTTTTCCACTTTGAGGAGAAATAACTGTCCATTACAAAATGCATGTGATACTCACACCCTAAATAAACAGAAAATAATATTTCTATTAGACACACCAAGAAACCTTGGTGTCTTGATTTAATTCAAAAGGAAAACTAGCTTCTTGATAGAAGGAACAAAGTCAGTTGCATGATAGAAAGAACAAAGAGATACTAGCAGTGTTTCTTAAACTTTTTAAGACAGAGGAACATCAAAATTTTTTTTTGAGGACCACCAAGGATTTTTTGTTGAGCCCCACACCCAAAAAAAGGTTGCCTGCCCCTTTAAGGGCAGCCATTTTGAACTCGTGTGTCACAGAACATAATTTAAGAAACACTGTACTAGCAGAATATGGCCTGCAGGCTGGATCCAGCCAGGGGACGCTGTGGGGAGTAGTCCCAGGCAGGCTCCCTGCTTGCCTTACCCCACCCAGGCCTTATCTAAGGGCACATCTAGACTACGTTTTTTCCCCCTGAAAGGAGATATGCAAATTCGGTGCTAATTTGCATATCTTCTTCTGATCGGTTTTTGAAAGCAGGTTTTTCAAAAGTGAAAGTAGTCTGGACACGTTTTTTCAGAAAAAGCCCTTTTTCGAAAACCCGCACTTCCTAAAAAACTAGGGTTACGCGGTTTTTCGAAAAAGTTTTTTTTCCAAAAAAAAAACCCCATCCAGACTACTTTCACTTCAGAAAAACCTGTTTTTGAAAAAGCGATCGGAAG